CAGCTGTATGCTTTTTTTTTTTTCTGTCAGGCTGTCGGAGCGCTCCTCCTCCTCTGTCCGAGGCTGGTGTGGGGTGAAAATCCTCCACCTCAGACGTTCAGAGATGTAACTATCTGCAATACTGTGGTCACTCTCCATGTAGCATCAATTATGCTAATGCTAGCTGCCTGTCACGTTCTCTCGTCCTGGCCACACCTCTGCTCTCTAAGCTCCCCCCTCCCCTACCCGCTTTGAAGCATTTTTCAAATTTCGCCTTGGGGCGGAGTTATCTTTTCACAGGGGGGTAAGATACACTTTAAACATTTTGTTTTAGGATTTTAATATGGTTCAGTTCTCCCTTACAAAAAAGTGTTCTCACTGGGAAGCAGAGGTTTTGTGACTGATAATTCAGCTCATAAATGATTTGTTCACTCTTCCTCATTGACTTCAGTCAGTGGAAATGTGGCATAATAGCAGTTTAAGATGGACTATTGTAGATTACACTGCTGGACTTCTGCTGCAACCAGCTTCATGTTTTACATAATTAGATTTAAAAGGAAAACTGAGGGGAAAAAACACATCCGGAGCTTCTGGTTCCCAGCCTGTCACTATGATTCTTTTTAAACTAGGTTGAGATGAGAAGCACATTTGCAATTATTTATGTGTGGSATATAAACAGAAGGAATGATAAAACATTCACATTTGTCTTGTGGAAGTGTATCGACTACAAAGATGTCTTTCTCTGTTTTCAGCTGTTCAGGAATAAAGCCGTGGAGCTGGGAGAGAAGCTGCTGCCTGCCTTTAATACACCAACAGGAATCCCCCGAGGCGTCATCAACCTGGGGAGGTGAGTTTTAGCACCAGTCCTCACCTCCGGCTGTCCTCCATCTACTCTCAGTACTCAGAAAAAATAGATATTAACAAATAGCTGGTTTGGTTCACAACAAAAACTAAAAACCAGAGCAACTCAAAAATCAGACAGAAAAAAAAGGAAAGAAAATCATCCAAACTTATAGCTCAGTCCCTCATTATTGTTCCAAAACTAATAGATTGAGAGCCACAGTTCGCTCTTACTGACAGATAATCAGCTGCAGGCTGAGCTTCAGATGACATTTAGATGACAATCTGTCTGTAAATTCTTTGAAAGCACATATGAATAATCTTCTCATGCCTCTAAATGATTATTGTTGTTTTTTTAATCTGTTCCAAGTCATTGCTTATCTAATTTAAAACCTGTATTGACACAGTCGTGTTCGTGCCGCGGTCACGCAGCACAACTTCAAACCATTTTCATTTCAGCAGCCGTTTGACTGAATCTTTACTTCTCTGTGTTTGTGTCACTCTGAGGGTTGGAGAAGAAATGTGCTTGTGTGTAAAAAATGTAACAACATGTTAAATACTTTATTTCTGACGGTGACATGAAAATGATGAGTAGACTGTGTTTTTGCAGTGATKGTTTTGCCTTGCTGCTGGAAAGGGTCCATTATGTTTCATTTAATCAAAATTTCTGACACCTAATTGAATTTTCTCTTTTCAACTCTTATCAATCCCACCGTAGTTAAGTCTCGCTCCCCTCATCCCCAATTTTATCATCTTAGACGATACTTCCTGGCACCTCTGCCRTCCACCTGCTACCAATTACACCAGCAGCCAAACTGGGCAGCTGCTGGCAGATTTAATTACCTTTTTCCACAGTTAATTTCTGCTACACCACCGACATGTGCCGRTGGCACAGATGGACAGGAGGAACCATGCTGCCTATACTGTCCCACACAAAAACAAATCCCTTCAAAGCACAATCCCATCAGAGGTGAACAATGTGTAGGAGAGCCAAAACATACATTTATATTCATTTGAAGCAGTGAAAAATAAAGGAGACTTGCTTCTTTTAGAGGTTACTCTCAAARTATTTTCTTTCTTTTCTTTTGTTTGTATGCTTTAATTTGTTCACATTCTTAAAAATCATTTACAGTATGCCAGCTTGAAATATATAAGTAAAACAAATGTTTAAAAGTAAATAAATAAATTTAGATACTGCATAAAGGCACCATATATGACCCCCGCACGTATGCAAAGCTCCACTTCACCAGAAATCAGAAGTCATCAATATTTATTTATTTATTTATTTATTTGGGGGGGGGGTTCATTGGTGGGCCAGATGGGTAGGCCCTCATCAGAGCTAAATAACAAAAAAAAATCTGAAGCTCCTATGTTGAATAGTTTTTGAGTTATAAGCATTTTTGTATGTCCAAACACCCCCTTTTTAGATGGGGTGGGTGTCCARGGGGGCTCATTGTTGGGCCCAATGGATAGCCCTTCATCAGAGCCAAACAACAGAGGAAAAAAAACATTTCTGAAGCTCCTGTTGAATATTTTTTGAGGTACAAACATTTTGGTATGTCCATACACCCCCTTTTTAGATGGAGCCCCCTCCTCAAATATGGGGTCTATGGTAAAACCGTTAGCTGGCGTCTTGTAAGCTGGACACAACTCCATTCCTACCAAATTTCATGTTGATCGGTTCAGCCGTTTTCATGCTACAGTACCAAAAATTTTGAAAATAARTAATAAAATAAAATAAACTGTATGAAAACAATATGACACCCCGTTTCATGTGCGGGGGTGGGAGTCATAATCAAAATGCCATCTTTATGTTTTTTTTTTCAGTCTGCTAAATATAAATAATTCTCCTGGTAAATTTCCTCAACATATTATGTGTGACATATTGATTTTATCTCTTCAGTGTTTTTTTTTTTCCACCACCTGATATTGTTTGTGATTGCTGAGAAAAGGTTCATTAAAAGGGGGGAGGGGGTAAAAGATTAATGGATTTGTGTTTGTGATGCTCCAGTAATGTCCGTCTTCAAACGCACCACCTGCTGCCCTCCGGCTCTGCGTTAGATTCTCTGATTGATTCTTCATAAACAAAGAATAACACACGACTCGAAGAGAGCTACTAATGATGCATCACACAAACTTTTAATGAGTGCATTCATCAGAGTGCAAACTCACATGCCTGCCACTTCTTCTTCTTCTTTTTTTTTCCTTCTGCATCTCCTCCTCYTCTAAAAAATTAAACCCAATTAATTATCCAGCATCTGACATCCTTCTAAAACACTTGGAGGGTATGTAAAGTCTCTCTTGTAGTTAACTGCCTCCACTAATCATCTGTGAGCGAAACAAACATTTACAGAAATGTCAGTTTTCTGAGTGCTGATGCACAAACTGATGAAACATGTCTTTATGTAAGAACACATGTAACTTGGCAACACTGCATAGTTTTAATTTTTCTTTTCTAAAACTTTACCAAAACCTGAATAACAGCTGGTAAAGGAGCCTTATAATTAGTTTATTTTTAGCCGAGAGTAACTCTGTTTTCTCGGCACGTTTAACTGAATGTTCTTTGTTGGTTTAACCAACAGCAGCTGCTGAGTTCATTTTAACCACCGAGATATCAAAACATTCACACTCCCAGTTTCTGCTGCCAGCTTCCAGTTTGTCATCTGATCTGCTTCACAGCATTTCACMAGCAAACACAAAACTGGTTCTGCTCAGAAACCTTTTTAGGTGTTGTTAMCAAGTTCCCTTTCCTGAGCTTACAGTTATAAACTTTCCACAATCATTTGTTTCCCCAACATTACCTTCCTGAGTAACTCTAGTGTTTGTATGATCATTACATTGCAATGTTTAATCATCTTTTATTATGACCCCCGCACGCAAAGCGTAAGAGGGAGTCATATTGTTTTCGTACTGTTTTCTTTCTAGCTGCACCAATCAACACAAAATTTGGC